ATATATATATATATATAAATAATTTTTTAATAGATTAATCAATTGGATGAATAACTTTTTATTTTAATTCTTCAAAAATAATCTTAGTTGCAAATTTTTACTACTTTTATTTTCAAAACTAAATATGCATGTAACTTTATGAAATATTATTAATGGGAAACACGCGCAATGCGCGTGCACAAAAACAAGTATTATAAATAATACGAAGTGTTGTTCAATTAGTTTGTTGTTAAAGTCTTGTACAACCAGAAACATGTTGTCTATACGTGTTCCTGTGAAGAATTCAGAAGGATAGAATTTTAACAAGTGGTATCAGAGCGGGTTATATTAATCAAGAGTCTAATAACTCAAGAGAAAAATCAATATGAGTTCTGCACCTCGGATCGTACATGGTCAAGGACAGCACATTAACATACCTCCTTTATTTAATGGATAATACTACTCATGTTGGAAGGCAATGATGGAAGACTTCATTCAAAATGAATACTACGAACTATGAGTTAGAATCACTAAGGGACCACTAACTCCTACTATTACTGATAGTGAAGGGAATAAAATACCTAAACCCACAGATAAATACGATGAAACTGATTATAAGATCTTAGGAAAGAATGCAAAAGCTAAGTGTATTCTCGTATGTGGACTAGGACCTGATGAGTTTAACAGTATTTCAAGTTGTACCTCTTCAAAACAAATATATGATACGTTACATTTCCCTCACGAAGGAACAACTCAAGTTCGAAAATTCAGAATTGCCAGACTTTTTTCTGAATATGAAGCCTTCAAGATGAAGTCCGGAGAATCTCTTCAAGACATGATTACCAGATTCACCACTGTGGTAAATGAAATAATATCCTTGGGCAAAGTATACACCACTGCGAAACAGGTTGACAAAGTACTTAAACGCTAGTAAAAAATCACCACCCATGAAAGAAGAAAATCTTTAGAGACCATAAAGCGGAGACTGCTTCAAGTGTAGCAAGACAGATCACCAGATCAAGGACTGCCCAATGTGGAAATTAGAATGGCAAAAGGAAAAAGTTGAAAAAGAAAAGAAAGAATTCTTTAATAAAAAGAAAAATAAAGAAAAAGAACAAACAATGTATACAACTTGGGAAATAGGTCCTTCATATATGTATGATGAAGATAATGATGACATAGCTTTGATGGCGATGGAAGAATCAGAACCTGAACCTGAATCAAACTCTGAAGAAGCTGAGGTAAATCTTCTTGACTTAAAAGATAAAATAAACTAGAAAAGTTCTCTACGAAAAATCTATCATTCCTATTAATTGCTTCCATAGACACAATTCAAGAACTTGTTAAAATGAAGAACCAATTTCTTGCTTCTTTGTCTAGCTTAAAGTTTGAGTATATTGATCTACAAGAGAAAATCAAGAAACTTGAATCACACAATATGGAACTAAGAAATGAGATTCTAAAACAAAAAGTTCTTGGTAAAGAAAAAGTGGGTGAACTGCCTAATCAAAAACTTGAGGTAGAAAAACTCAAAAATCACTTAAAGCTAGAAGAAGAAAACTCTAGGAGAATAAATTTTGAATTAAATCGGATGAAAAGTGATATGGAAAGAGAAAATAAGTGGAAAAAATCCTTCATGCTAGTAACCCATCTAGGTAACAATAATAGGAACATTAAAATCGAAATAGGTTATAAACAACCCTTAAATAGGAATCCTATGTTTTGTACTATTTGTAAAACTCAGGTCACTCTAAACAATATTGTCCTAAATACATAGTTACTGGAGAAAATAAAACAAAAGGAACTTATGGAACTATTCAAGAGGAACATGTATATTCCTAGAACAAACCGTCTGCCCAAGTGGGCTCATAGAGATATTATTTACCTTTTGATCAATACAAAGGACCCAAGTTAAACTGGGTTCCTAAATCTAACCTCTAATTATTCTTTTTTTAGGAAGAAGTGAGAGAAAACAAGCAACATTGGTACTTGTATAGTGCTTGCTCAAGACACATGACATGTAATAAAACATTGTTTCTCTCACTAGAAGAAGGAAAAGGAGGAATGGTAGCTTTTGGTTGTGGAAAAGGGTCTAATCAGAGGACGTGGTAAGATTGGAAGATCTGATGAACACTCAATTGATAGAGTCTATTATGTGGAAGGACTAAACACAACCTACTCGGCATATCTTTATTATGTGACAAAAGAAACAATCTATTCTTTAGATCCACTGGTGTTGAAGTAATTTACCTAAGCACACAAAAGGTAGTATTAACCGGAAAAAGAGATAAACATGTCTACACTGTAGATACCTCATCTCTCTCTGATAAAAATTTGGCATGTTTAAGCGTGTTGGATAAAGATCCCTTGTTATGATATAAATGGTTGGGTCATGTTAGCCAAGTACAATTGAACAAACTCATCACTAAGGACTTAGTTATAAGACTTCCTAAAATAAAATCCAAGGAAGATAAGGTGTGTGAATCATGTACTCTAGGGAAACAGATAAAATCATCTTTTAAATAAAAAAAGATGATAAGCTCAACATGTTCCTTAGAACTATTTCACATGGACCTGTGTGGACCAATGAGGGTTCAAAGCAGAGGAGGAAAATGATATATGTTTGTTTTAGTTGATGATTATACTAGGTACACCTGATTACTATTTCTTGCATCAAAAGATGATGCCTTTGTTGCTTTTTGTTCATTAATGAGAAAAATTCAAACAAAATTTGGAAAACAATTAATGGCAATCAGATCCGACCATGGAACAGAATTTGAGAATTTAAAGTTTGCCCACTATTGTGACTCCCATAGAGTTGATCATAATTTTTCTGCCCCTAGAACCCCTCAACAAAACGGTGTGGTTGAAAGATAGAACATAATTTTTCAACAAATAGCTAGAACCATGACGATCGCAAGTAAAATCACCAATCATTTCTGGGCAGAAGCAATAAACACTGCCAGTGATACTATAAATAGATGCATGTCTAGACCTCTGTTAGAGAAAACTCCTTATGAATTACTAAAAAGTAGAAAGCCCAACATCTCTCATGTAAGAGTGTTTGGATGCAAATGTTTATTCACAACAATGGGAAAATTTTGCTAAGAATTTGCCTTTTATTTGAATATATATAACATTATATGAAAATAAAAGCATAATATTTTCATTTTTAATGACCTGAAAAATAAATTCACACTTCAATTACAATAATTAGGATATTGAAAAGACAACATTTAAACTTACAGTTAAATAACCATGAATAGGGTAAACGAAAAGGCAATTGAAAGTAATAAGTCTTTTTTCTAAGTGAATAATGACTTTCTTCAGGTAAAGAAAGAAACTATGTTTCGTCTTTAAATAAATAATTTCATCTTCATATACATTTAAAAAGGCATGGAATATATAGGAACACTATTTTAGTTAAGAAATCGAAGACTTTAAGACAATTATGAAGAACATATGAAGTGTGGTGTCTGCAGTGATTTCTCGACAATGACAACGGTGAGAAACTGATTTTGTGTTCCTAGAAATCTCATAGTCCTCCAGCATCAACTGCCCTTTATCATTTTTCTTTTTTGAA